GATCCATTGCTTTTCTGTTAGTCCTCCTCCTCCTCCTCCTCGTTTTCCTCCTTCCTCCTCTTCCTCCTACTTTTCCTCTTCCTCCTCCTCCTCCACATCCTTCCCTTCCTACCTCCACCTCCTGGGTCGACGGAAAAAGGCCTCGAGGTGCGGCCGCCGCCGCGAGCGGGGGGGCGCGGCGCCGCGCGGCGCCGCGCTCGCGAGAGTTCGGAGAACTCTCGAGCACAAATGGCTGCCCGCGCGCGCGGTCGCGCGCTGGCAAGCGGGGGGATGTCAAGGACAGGCTGTCGAGCTGGAGAAGGGGAGAAAAGAGAAATATGAGGTTGGAAAGATAAAGGAATGTTAAGCGAACCGCCGCTGCTGGCCTGGACAAGCTCATTAATGGGTCACTGCCGCCGGGGGGTGGGTGAAAGGGGGGAACAAGATGAACACCAGGATGGGGCACCGAGTAATCGCACCAGTATAGTAGTATTAATAGTCGTAGTAGTAGTCGTACTAGTAGTACTAGTAGTCGTAGTAGTAGTAGTAGTAGTAGTAGTAGTAGTAGTAGTAGTAGTAGTAGTAGTAGCGGTGGTAGTCGTAGTAGTAGTAGTAGTAGTAGTAGTAGTAGTAGGAGTAGTAGTAATAGTAGTAGTAGTAGTAGTAGTAGTAGATTATTAAGATATAAAATGCCGACGCGTTCCTTCGGCCCCCTTAAAGGGCCCCAGAAATTTTCGATTTCGTTTTTGGAAGTACATGCAGATGTATTAATGGTGAATAATATAGCAGCGAAGCTTAGCGGGGCGCCGCCGCGCGCGCGGCGGCGCGCCTCCGAGCTTCACTGCTAAATTTGCAAAAATACGAAAGTAGTAGCAGTAGTAGTACTAGTACTAGGACTAGTACTAGTACTAGTACTAGTACTAGTAGTAGTACTAGTAGTAGTAGTAGTAGTAGTAGTAATAGTAGTAGTAGTAGTAGTCGTAGTCGTAGTCGTAGTCGTAGTCGTAGTCGTAGCCGTAGTCGTTGTAGTAGCCGTAGTAGTCGTATAGTAGTCGTCGTAGTCGTAGTAGTAGTAATAATAGTAGTCATGCCATGTCAGAAATGCCATTAAAGACACATCATGCTAATGGGTGTGGTCTGAAAACGAAACTCACGACAGCAAAGCAAAACTCACGACATCAAAACAAAACTCACGACATCATAACAAAACTCACGACAACTTTGAGAAAAGCCACGATCTCACGACAATGCAAAATACTCACGACAAATGAGGCGTCATGAGAAACTCATGACGGTGGAGGTCAGGGATTACGAGCTGCTGCCATGTCCACGTTCAGCGACCACAGCCCACCATGCATCATGATCTGTTTGCCAGCAGCTTTCGCGTCATGAGCAGGGTCCCAACAGAAGTCGACGTTGAATGTCTTGCCGAAGTTGAGGAAATGAAACAGTGCAACCATACCTGGCCCCCTGTCAGGGGCCAGCGATAAGGAGGGCCAACAGAATGGGTCCGAGATCACGTCTTTCGTCAAGTCAACATGAAAGAAAGTCAGGTCGTGTCCAGGTTGGTGTTGAATCATGTTGTGAATACGCATCATTGTCTGGAACGTTTTGAGCCTCTCCCTTTTAGGTTGCTTCCAGACCCTGAACTTTACATTGCCGACCCTGGCCTTCTTGGACTCTCCAACTGCAGCACAGACTTGAAGCCATTCACCTCTGCTGGAGTGCTTGCCCTTCTCGTCCCAGTCGTGATCCTCCCAGCTTATGTACTGCTTGCAAACCTGTCTGGAGGCTAAACAGCTCGTGCGACGAGTTTGTCGACTCGGACCCCACACGTTACGAGAGAGCTCGCAGACGGGGCAAGCTTCTAAGTGCACCCCTGCACATTCCGACCCATGGGACCAGAAGGGGGCCCGCAAGAGCCCCCCTCGACCACCTGCCCCAGGCGCCCTCGACGGCGCCCGAGGATCGCCCACGAAGCCCCTGGGAGGCGCCCAGGTGCCCCTGACCCAGGCCCCCCGAACAGATTGAAGTTTTTGGGGTAGGGCGGGGGTGGGGGTCACCAAACCAATCAAATAAGGGCGTCTAAAACACTACCCCGAAAACGCTGGCCGATTTGGGTCACCCGAGTCGGGAGGGGGGGGGGGGGGGGGGGGGGGGCTCCCGAGCCAGGGCGGGCGAGGGAGGGGGGGGTGGGGGGGGCATCCTCAGGAGTACCCAGCCCCACAAGGAACGTTCGAGCCAGCCCCCAGGACCCAGCGAATTTTGAAAGAAAAAAATGGTTTCTCAAGATTCCCCCTCTTTTTCCAAGTGACCGACCACCCCGCTCCTCCTCCCCCCCCCCCCCCCTTCCTACGCCCACTCCTCCTCCCCCGCCCCCTGCCGCCCGCGGTGGCGACACTGCGACGAGCCCCGAGGACTGGCCCATCAGCACGCCAGTCAGCAACGACAGGTCGGCGCCGACCTTGGCCCCATCAGGACCAGCCATGGAGTAGCGCAGGTCATCGCTGAAGAGCTGCCTGGAAGGGGCCAGCGCATCTGACTGAATGGGTTATCCCTCGTGCATTCATGCCGGAATACTACCCCCCGAGGGCCGCGCTATCGGGCCGCGCGGGGCGGGGCAAACATTTACACTGCTAACGGCTGAAGAAGCCAGCCCGGGCGGGGCAAACATGCACACTGCTTGCTGCGACTGGAATTATCCCCCGTTGGGCACTGTGAGCCCCCCTGGCAACTTTGGATACCCAAGGGCCCCCTATATAAAAGAACTACCTCCGCCAGCTTCCGTCAGCATCGGATACCCAAGAATGCCCTGCAACAAACTAACTCCACCAGCTTCCGCCATATGTAAAGTTGTGCATCCAGAGTGCCTGGTTACATCCAAATATCGCACCTCCTCCCTCAGCGCGTGGTGCCAGCTGCCACCCAACACCTCATTAGTCTGCACTTCCACGTTGATGCTGTCCTCGGGGTCCACATCATTCAAACGGCGACCGAGATGAGGCACTGCCGCCACGACGCTTTTCTCGACCCCCCAGCCCACGATCCAAAGCAGCTGCTGCATGAAGGCACCGATGTACAGATTCAGAACATTGAGGGTGGTGCAGCAGTGCTTCACCCACTCGAAGAAGCTGGCCCCGTCGAAATGTCTCAGGATCTCGCACGCAAAGAAAAAAGAGAAGGAAACCCCAAAAATAAAGAGAGACAAAAAAAAAAAAAAGAAAAAAACAAAAGGAAAAACGCAACTCGCACGCAGCGTCGATCTCTTGTTTTTTTTTTCTGTGGCTTCCGACGTGCATCCTTCGCATCGCCGGCTGCCTGGACCAAGTGCTTCAACGAGACTCGGCCTTCAGAGAAATGGATCTCGAACGGGCGTGCCCCACTGACATACAAGCCTTTTCGAGTGACGCCCGCGTCAATGTACAAGGTATGCTGAAAGGCTGCCTGGATCCCGCCCATGATCCCCTTGCAGACCCTCTCGGCGGCAGTCCTGTCCTCGGGCCTGGTGAACTGCCCTGCGCGGGCGGTCTGGGCGCAGGAGCCCCGCGTCATCAAGAGGGCGAGGGTGGGGGTGTTCACGGGGCCAAACTATAGCACTCGGACGGGGTCGTCGCCAAGTACTTTGCGTTTCTTCCCATTGTACGGTATAGACGACCTCGCGCTGCCTTTGCCAAGCTGCGCACCCATTGAAGTCGTCGCCCACCTCTTCTTGCATTTGTTGAACCAGCCACACCCCGTCCCAGGGTACAGTTCCATCTCGAGCTGACTGCACACGCGCGGCACGTTGAAGAACAATTGGAAGTCCTCGCAGGGATATTTGAACACTGCCACTTCCAGTCACTATCCAGGGACGCCGCCGCTGGCATCCTGAACTAAGACTTTGGCCTGGACGTTCAAGCTTGTAAGATATTCCAAGGGCATCGCCAGTCTATCACCTTGGATGAAGGTCACCCCGCTGGAGTTCACCATGGCGTTGCCACGAGTAATGTCCGACGCCCACGTGGAGCTGTCGTCGTCGCCACCGTCAGCAAGCCGCAAGAAAGCGAAGCCATCTTCGTCGCAGCCCAGCCCCAAAGCCTGGAGGTTGCCACGATTAAGAAAGATGGGACGCAGATGGGGAGGACAACGACAATGGGGGCAGCGGGTAGCGACGATGAAGAATTGGAAAACATCGTCTTCACTATATCCTGAAAAAAGCCGCCCTCCCCCTCTCCTCGCCCCCCCCCCCGCCCCCCTCTTCCCACCCAGTCACCTTGAAGACTTTCCGAAGACGATCTCAGACCCCACCCCAAGGTTTTCCAGCACCCACAGAATCCCGCCGTTGGTAATCTCACCAGCTTCACCCGTGATCGAGCTGAAGACGACGTGCGAGGGGCCTGAGACTGTCGATTTGACATGAAGCTCAAAGTAGTCTTGCATCTATAACCGTGGAGGGATACACGCAGCCCTCCCCCCACGCCACCTCTCCGGGGAAATGATGGGGGAGAGGGGCGACAGACGAGGGCCCGAAACAATCATTTCCGACGAATAGTTCAGACTTGGCTGCCAGGTGGCCCGATGAGCTGCAGCGGCCGGCATCTCTACCTCCACCGCCCAACCAAAGATACGCGCGAGAGACCGCGACGGTGCCCCGAAGCGGCGCAGCGCCGCCACCACACGTTCAGGGTGAGACGGCAACGTCCGAATTCCCACTTCCAATGCAAAACGAACGAGCGACCCTGCAAGCTGGCAACAGCGGAATCCCAAGATATCCCAAGGCCCCAAAAGCACAGCTCGCAAACGCGAGTCGACACGACGAAGAAAACTTGATGTTGCCCAACCGATTAAACACCGAGCCCGAAGAACCATGGATGCCAAAGCGCGCATGTCGGCCCGCCTGAAACCTGCCCAACTACACAGCTGGGATAGCACCCCGTCGGCAGCGCGGGGAGAGGCCGACGAGAAAGACGAGTCTAAGCCTCATGATTGCTGGCAGCCAAGGCTGGCTTGCCAACAGGGGGCCTGCAACGCCGCTTCACGGCCTGCCCCAAGGACTCCGAGACCTGCACAGCCCCCGCTGCCTTCTGCAGCTTGATGCGGGCCATGGAGTCGCCGACGCTCTTGGTGAGGCTCTCGGCGCGCTGGGCGCGGGTAGGGATAGCCTCGGCAAGCTTCCCAATGGTGTAGATGTGGATGTTCCTGCCGAGCACCCTGATGAAGGCGGAGCACATGTTAAAGTTGTCATGGATCGGCGTCTGCACTGTCAGGACGCCGAGGCACCCCATGTCCTCGGAGGTCAACATCACGCTGATGTTGCCGACGCGGTGCCAGAGGTTCACGGAGTCAGCCTTCATCGGCGAGGCAGCCGCGCAAAATCTCGCATCCACAATCCTTCCTCCATCCTCCTTTCTCCGCCCCCCACCCCTCCTCCCCCCCCTCTCTCCGCCCCCTCCTCCCTCCTTCCCCTCCTCATCCTATTCTTCCCCCCCCCCCATCCTCCCCCTCCTACCCGAGCTAACCCGCCATCCCCAACCCCACCCCCCCCCTCCTCCGCACCCCCCCCCCCCCCCCCCCCCCCCACGACGAGTCGCAACAAGACTGCGCAACTGCTGCATACTCGACACCAACAACACTCAGCCACGAACAACAATGACGACAAGACTGTAGGAGTTGGAATGGGGGGTGGATGCAAGGTTTGCGCAACTACCCTCCGACGTCGGACCTCGCCAGCACCCTCCACGGCGCGCAGGCTCCAGACGCCGAACCCAGGAGCGAAGGGGTTCTTCACCAGCACGGGGATCTCGCGCTTGAAGAAGCCACCGTTGAGGTTCAGCAAGTCACCCCGACTGTCAATGAGCTGCACGATGACCTGTGCGAGGTAAACCTTCACAAGCAGGTCGCCAGACAAAGGATGCTGAGGATGCACACCACACAACACCCACATGATGTTGAAGAGAACCTTGGACGATTTCTGCACGACGGCAGTGACCACCGCATCAGGGATGGGAGTCTTCGTCTTGCCCTGCAAGACGCCCCACACCCATGACGGAGGAAGCTTGTTGAACGTGTCCACGCTCTTCTCGTCGAAGCACGGCTTGTCGCCCAGCTGCCCGATGGCGTCGGCGCCGCGCTTGATACCTTTCAAGATATTTCCCAAAGAGCCCACAGTGCGTCCACTGATAATCTTGGCGGCCACCTGGGTCCTCTTGAAGTCGCCGCTGAGAAGGTCAACGGACAGGTTCGCAACCAAGCTCAAGTGATCGCGCTCCAGCTCCTCGAGACCACTGCGAGTATTGCCCAGCTTCCCGACGAGCAGCTGGGAGAGCTGGCGCACCGCAGGCAGGACCTCCTCTGGCACATCAAGACCAGAGGACGAGCTGGATCCGTGATTGCTCACCGATCGCGAACTGGCCATGGTGCGTTCCAGCTCGAAACTGTGAGCCGACTGGTGCTAAACCCTTGGAGAGGAGGACTTGAAACCAAAATGGATACGGCCACTGCAGTGCAGGAGGGGAGGTTCGGTTGTCTACGGGTTGGTAGGTTTTGCGCCCGCCAGCTTCCGTAAAACATTGCCTCCGCCGGCTTCCAGGCTGCGCGAACAGCCGTGTAGTTTTACTTCCGCCAGGTTCCTCCGCTACTGGTAGAATCATAGCGTTGCTTCCGCCAGCTTCCGCGAGGTTTAGTTTCCGCAGGCGTCCGTAAAGCTTTGCTCACGCCAGCTTCCGCTCCCCCCCACCTTGTGGGGCTCTGTAAGCAGGCGCTTTACAGGCGTCCGCGCGAACCTCCAGCCCCCGATCCCTGTGTGAGTGTGAATGCACGGCACAGAAGTGTCTCGATAGGAACCGTGTCTCTGAGCGCATGTATGCTCATACGCAATCCGCCCCAACTGGCAACAGACCATGGTTCACAACGGTGTTTGTCTTGCTTGTCCGTTTTCCCTCCTCCCTTATCCTCCTCCTCCTCCTGCCCCTCCCCCCTCTCCGCGTCCTCCTCCCCCTTCGCCTTCCCCTCCTCTCCCCCTACCCCCCCCTCGACCTGCTTTGGTCCTCTGCCCCCGGCACCCTGGAGCTTCGGCAATCAAGAGCGGGCCCTGCCCCTCCAAGGAAGACGAGGAGGATGAGGAGGGAGAAAGAGGAGGGAGGAGGAGGATGCGGACTGACTCGGTTAAGGTGATTCCTACAGCACTCCAGAGGCGCTGCAAAGTTTGAAATTGATCGCGTTTTTGGGATCGGGCCCCTGTTTTCTTTTAGTGAGATATGGCGACACATGAGTTTCCCATAATTCGCTGCGGCGAACGGGGTCCAGGTTCCGAAAAATTGGAACACATAGGTCGCCAGAAACCCCTGGGGAATCTGGCGACCTCTGGTTTCCCATAACTCGCCCACGCCAGCGGCCCCGCGGAATTTCACTGAATTCTAGACGCCGCGCAAATCCGCCGACCCTATCGGCGCGTGGACCAATGGACCCCCTGTCGGCGCACGCTCAGTCGACGCATCCGTTGTCCTCTTTCCCTGCGTTTCCGTCGTCCACTTTCCCTGCGCCCTCCTCTTCAAGCCCGCCAGCGAATGAAAACCGCAGCAACGCCGCACTTAAGTCGAAGGGAAGCCCCTTCCCTTCGATCCCTCCCCCGCCGAAGGGGGGGGGGCCCGGGGTGGTCCTGGGGGGGTCCCCGGGGGGGGTCCCGGGGCGGTCCCCGGGAGGGATCCCGGGGGGAGGGCGGGGTCAGCCACGCATCCGCCCCCGGGCGCCCCAGAGCCCCAAAGAAACGCCAAGACGCGCCCAAGAGGGCCCCAAGCAGGCCCAAGAGAAGGACCACGAACCGACCTTTCGAGCTGAAGACCGTATTCGGCCACATCGGGCCCTCTTGGAGGCTTCATCAGCTGTCTCTGGGCGATAGTGGGCGCATCTTGGGCCGACTTGGAGCGGCGGGAAGCCGAAAAGACGTGAGCACCTGAATCCGTCAAAAACCTTTCCAACAAATCAAAAAAAATTGCGCATCTTGAAGTCTTCTCGGGGGTGTTCTTCGAGGCCTCGTGGAGCGTCTTCGAGGCCTCTTGGGCCGTCTGGAGGCCATCGCGGGCGTCTTGGCGCGATTTTTGGGCGTCTCGGGGCCCTCTTGGAGCGTCTTTGGGCCCTCTTGGCGCTCTCTGGTGGCGTTTTGTCGGCCTCAGGGGGGCCCCAAGCGCCCTGGCACCCGCGTTTGTGGCTGGGGCTGCGGCCCAGGGCCCCCCCGGACCTATCCCCCGTTATATGTATAACCGCAGGAAGCATTTAAGAACCCCCCCCGGCGATATCTTAGCACCGCATTTTTATTCGATATTCCGAGGGGCCGAAATAACCGAACGAGAGGTTTAGCACCCGGACACAAAACAAATTCGCGGAGGCCTGGCCCCTGGGCCACAATCGAAATTCGGAATTCAAATCTGCGCGGCCCTCATGAAAGACTCAGGATGTCGCTTGCTGCTTGGGAAATTCATGCAATGATACTAGTATTAATATTCGCAAGCACATTTGATGACTCCTAACGACTTGAATGGGTCCATCAGGTTTCATACAAGTTCCGCAGGATTCTCAAGGATTCCTACGGATTCACAAAGATTCGCCAGGATTCATAAAAAGATTCAAAGGATGTCCAGGGATTCCTGAATATTCCCAAGGAACCCAGAAAGGATTCCTCAGGAATCTGGAGAATTCCAAAAGATGCGCAAGAATTCCTTAAGAGACCTAAAAGGTTTTCCTTTACTGCTTATGAATTCCTGTTCCTTGTCTTGCTCCTCCTTCTCCTCTCCTCCTCCTCCTCCTCCTCCTCCTTCTCCTCCTCCTCCTCCTCCTCCTCTCCTCCTCCTCCTCGTCCTTCTCCTTCTCCTCCTCCTCCTGCGAATCCCACTGTTTCCTTCTCTGGCTCCGCCCGGAGCCTGCTCGATGAAGATCGACTCGCGCCCTGAAACTTTCCACGCACGCGCGAGCCCCGGGCACGTGACTCCTGAAAGCCTACTATGAGTTGATCTGAAATGGCAGCGGCAGCGGGCATTCGTGCTATCCCTCACTCACTGCATCAGGCAATCCACCCTGCGTTTTACATTCACTCAAAATTCTAGTTGCCTGATGCCTTGATCTGCTTGACCATGGCCCTGATCAATCGTCGGCCTCAACCTTCGTCATCGACAGGCCGAACGATCTCTCCAGCACCGCCAAAATGGCATCTCTCTGCGGCGGAAATTTGCTCATCTCCATCGTCACAGCCACTGCGACCGCCTCGATCGCCTCCTTGTACTCGATGCTATCCTTCGGGATCTCGACGCGCTCAAGCTTCACGAAACCTTCCTCTTCCTCCTTCAGCACGCTGGAACGGGCCGCCCCTTTGCCCCCGGTCTCCCACGGTGGGAACCTGAGAACATCTTCCACAAGATCGCATCCTTGAGGAATCTCCATCTTCATTTTCGGCGTCTTCACCTGCTGGGCGTACTTCATCTCCAGCTCGGCCAGCTGCACCACCATCGCGTCCTCCACCGTCGCTGGACAGCTCACCTGGATGTAGTTCGTACTGCCGTGGTACGACAGGGTCACCTTGATGCCGCGCGTCGCGCCGGCGAGGCCAGAGTCCAGCACCATCGCCGGAATGGTCACGGACATCTTCCTAGATGACGACACACACTTGACTATCGTCGGATATGGACTTGCCACTGTCGTCAGGCTCTCGAGCAAGCTGCGTACACTGTCAGGATCTCCGACAGCACTCACTCCAACCATCTCGCACACCACGCGCGAGACCTGCTCCACTGGGGGCTGAGGTGCTCCGGCATGGCCCGAGGAAAGCTCCCTGCGGACGCGGCGACGCTCACGTTCAGCAGCTGCTGACTCCAGCGTCACTGACTCATCTGCCAGCTGATATACACCTGATCGCACGCATGCTCTGAGAAGATCATGAGCATCAGCCTTCTCCTTCGTAAGAGCGTCCGCCAACATCAACGACGTGGGCCCCCACCGAAGGCACCCCTTGAACCTCTGGAGGGCCTGCCGGGCAATCATCATCTCCACTGCACATCGCCTATCCTCGAGAGCCCCTGGAGACCCAATCTTGTTTATATGATCATATGCGGATTTAGCATCGACGATGGCGATAGCCTCGAACCTCGAGAAACTCGCAACGATTTTCCAGAGTAAACTGTGGAAACATAGCCCCCGCAAAGAAACACATCACCCATTCCATATGTCCCACTCCGTCTGATAGTACCGATGCCTCCCCGCCCAAGGACGATCGCATGGCTCGTTTGAGCCGGTCGCTTCTCCAGATAAGAGGGTTCCGAGGTGATACTGCTCCCTTCTGCATTCCGGGGTCGGTCACGCTCAGCACATAGCCCCCCTGGGTTATCCTAAGACCGTCGTTCTCTCCTATGGCAAAGTCGGCGTGGATCATCATGCGAATATCTTTCAGAGGGATCGGAAAGAAGCGAATAGTCAGATCCTTATGCTGCCGAGCACGTCGCACAAGCATACTGGCATCTTTTATCTCCTTTACAGACGGGTGCGGCATCAGCTGCTGGTTGCGGCTGACCTGGCATGATAGATCCGGTCGAGACTGACCTGCCAGCCAATTACCAGCTTGATTCATTGAAATAACAGCCGAGATCTCTCCTGGAAGTGCCTTGCCGTCGTTTGGGGCGTTCCGTCTGAGTTTTACTGGCTTCATTTCTTCCGCATACTTCTTTTGGGATTGCACAATCATACCATCCGGTAGTTGTCGTAGCCATGAGCCCGTAAACTCCCCTTCCCCATGGCGCCACTTCCTCCATGGAAATCGCTGCTTCAATTTGGACATCGCATCTTCCCATCGTGCGCCCCTGCCTCCTCCTACCGCGTCGCCCACGTGGATACCGAAAATGCCACAAAGAGCCCCGGGGGCCCCGTATCTGGAACCTTCAGGAATACAGATCGGCATAGACGGCACTTCCTTGTTGGATTTCACGGGCTCGAACAGCATAAACAGGCAGGGATCGAGAGGATGGGCCACGAAGCCAATCTCCTCGGCATAGCGCTTAAAGGTGGAATACCACCGCTGTGGCTGGTCAACTCCGCCGTAGCCGTTCACAAGCTCGTACAGCTGTTCTGGGTGGTGGCCCTTTGGAGTATGATTTTTCGGGGGACACACGAAGACGGGCCCATTCGGACGTGATTCAGCATCAGCTTCCAGAAAAGCTCCCCGGATATCTCCCAGGACCAGCTGAAAACGAGCAGAGGCCACCACCTGTAAAAGAGTTGCCTTACCAGTCACAGACAAAGTTGGACTCTGAGTCTTGCCAGCGCGCACCATGTCCAATACATCCGGGTCCTTAAAGCCTTGGACCGTCATGCGACATCGTAACTCTGTATTTCCATCGTCGTCAGTCTTCAACGTCAAAACTGGCCTGGAGGGTA